GGAAATGCTGACCCTTGCTGTGGTCTGCAGTGCAGAGAGGAGGAGGAAGAGGAGGAGGAGGAGGAGGAGGAGGAGGAAGGGCTGGGGAAAAGGCAGGTGACCTCAGGCATCTGCGCAGCACGACCCACCCTGAAAGATACAAGAAGAAGAAGAGGCCTCGATGGAGACCCACCTGGGGCCCACCTGCAGGGAGGGGGAGGGGGGGACGAGCGGAGCGCCTGGCCAGCCAGAGGCTGAGGGCAGGGAGGGGGCAACCTGCGGGGGGGGGGGAGAGAAGGAGAGGCGCAAGAGGGGGCTCCCGCCCTCCCCCCCAAGGGCAGGCCGCCTTGCAATCAGGCCCAGGAGGGGCTTCCTTGTTGCCCAGGCAGGGCAGGGCCCCAGAGCCCGGAGAGGGGCCCACGCCCGCCCCCCTTGCAGGGCCCGAGCGAGGGTCTCCCCACCCGCTGAGGCCCAGCCCCCCCCCCCCACCACGGGGCTCTTCCTGGAGGCTTCCTCCAAAGGATGCCAGCCCAGACCGGGCATGCTCTGTGTGTGTCCGTCCGTCCGTCCGTCTGTCCTGGGGGAGCATCCCTCCCACCTGGGGCCTCAGCCTTTAGGGGGGCTTTGGACCTCGCAGCCCAGGGGGGGCTCGGAAGGGACCCCCTTGAGATGATGCTGCAGACGCCCCTCGCCTGGGGGAGCCCCGCCCGTCTTGTCCAGGCCACCCACCTCCCGCGACCCCCGAGACTGGCTCCCCCCCGCCCCCAATTCAGGCCCTGTGCGCCAAGGCCTTTGGGGCAGGGGGGACGATACCCTGCTTGGGCCAGCCCCCAAAGGCCCCCTCGGAGGCCATCAAGCGTTGGCGGGGCTGGGCGTCCCTGGGCGGCAGCCAACCTCCAGGTGGAGCTCGGGCGGGGAGGGGCCCCCCTACCCTGTGCTGGGCGGCCCCCCACTTACTTGTCAAGGCAGGCCACGCTGAGGCACTTTTCGTGGGGCTGCGCCCGGGGGCCCTGGGTGGCCGGGACTGTGGAGGAAGCGCTGCCGGGCTGGTCCTCCTGGAGGATGGAGTCGATGAACGTGGAGGGCGAGAGGGGGGCGCCCAGGGGGCTGGCCTCCTCCCCGGAGGGGCTGCACGAGGGGCTCGGGGGCTCTTCTTTGATGCGGACCACGGGGCTGCTCCTAGGAGAGTCCGGGAGACGGAGGGGCAATGAAGGCCGGCAGGGAGAGGCCCACTGGCCCGGCCGGAGGACACCGCGGCTTTGAGGCGGCAGCTAGCGGCTGCAGGCAGAAGAATGAACGGGGGGGGCACCCCCCCCCCAGCTCATGTCTCCTCTGAAGGGGGAGAACCAATCCTGGGGACAGATAGGAGAGGTGGAAGGGACCTTGGAGGTCTTCTAGTCCAGCCCCCGGCACCATTTCAGGCCAATTACTGTCCAGCCTCTTCCTCAAAACGTCCAGGGATGACGGAGCCCCCACGGCTTCTGGAGTCCGGCCGTCCCACCGGCTCACGGTCCTCCCTGCAGGGAAATTCCTCCTGGGGGGGCAGGTGGCTTCTCCCCTTGGTTGGTTTCCACCCCTGGTCGCTTCTTCTCCTGCCTTCAGGGCCGTTGGGAAAGACCCTCGAATGTGGGAAGGCTGCTCTCCGGTCACCCCCGGTCCCTGTTTCATTCGACCGGGCCTGCCCAATTCCTGCCCACGTTTCAGCCTCCGGGCCTTCCTCACCTGGGCTGCTCTTCCCTGCGCCTTCTGTGGCGTCTCCGCCTTGGAGGTGGAGGGAACGAACGTCCAGGGTTCCCACGCCAGCAGCTCCAGGGACGGAGTAAACACGGAGCAGGACTGGCCCCTTTGGGGTCCCCTGGAGAAGCCGGAGCTCCTGCCCGGCCCCCAGTGACACACCTGCCACGGCTCCCTCTGCGGGCAGCCTGAGGGGTGGGTGGGGGGAGGAAGCCGTAGGTGGCCGGGGTCTTCAGGGAACGCCGGGCAGGGGACCAAGCAGGCCTCTGCCCCATCCAGGGGCCGGGAGGAGTGCAGAGGGGGCCTTCCCCTCTTGGCCCCAGGGTCCCCTCAAGGCTCAGCAGCGTGGCGGGAGGGGCCTCGGGCAGACGGCGCAAAGCAGCCTCAGAGCCAGCGGGGGGGGGGGGACTGAGCGGCTCCCCCATCCAGGCCACAAAGGATGAAGACCCCAAATGGGCTCGGGACGTCCCGCAGCCCCCTTGGAGCGGCAGTCGAGCCCCTCCTCGCTTTGGAGCCCTTTTCCCTTCCCTCGCCGCAGGAGCAACTGCCCACCCCCCACCCCCGCCCGGAGGAGCCCCCTACCTCTCCTCCTCAAAGCTGCTGCTGCTGGGGCAGGGAGACGGGCTGGACTGGGCCAGTTCGGTCACATCGGAGATGATGGGGCCGGAGTCCGGGGAGTAGAGTTTGGGGCCGCCGTACGCTGGGGAGGAGGCCTGCCAGGAGGAGGAGGGCGGGGAGAGCCAGGTGAATCCTTCCCCTGCCGGCCAGGGGGGCGGAGGCAGCCCCCACCCCGGGCAACGCCCCCCCCTCCCTTACCCGGCCGCCCCCCCCCCCGCGTATCCTGCCCTGCCCCCCCCAACCCCCCCCCCCCCGGTAATGGAGCTTGACCAGAGGGCCAGAAAGCCACGGGGGACGGGGGGGCGGGACGGTGCACCGAAGCCGGCCAGGAGAGAGGAGGGAGGCCAGAGGGAGGCCGAAATGGGGCTCAGGCGACAGGCTCCAGGCCTGGCCTGCACGAAGGGAGCGCAACTCCCGGGTTCGTCCCGTGGGGGACGGGAGCTACAGCCCCGGGGGCCCAGAACAGCAGGATCCGGGCCCCCCGGTCCCAAGGAGGGCGTGCCGTGCAACGGCAGGACCGCTCGGGCGTGTATTTCTGAGGCGAGGGCTCGCCAGGCCCCCCGCCCGGGGATTCGGCCCGAGGGATGCTTCACACAGCTCCAAGGGCCGGCCGGAGTCCGAGGGGCTGCAGCAGTCCATCAGCCAGGACGGAAGGGGCCGTGGAGGCCTTCTAGTCCAGCCCCTGCTCAGGCAGGAGACCCCGTACCTGCAGCACAAATGGCTGCCCAGCCTCCCCTTCAAAGCCTCCCCTTGGGATGGAGCTCTGGGGGGCAGCTTCCCTTCCGGGGGTTCATTCTCCTCCCTCCTGGGACGTTCTTCTCTCTTTGAGCCCCTCAAATACGGGGCTGATCTACTGCTATCATGTCCCCCGTCCCCCCCCAGTCCTGGCCGAACCCAAACCCTGCAGCCGTTCTTCCTAGGTTTTACCCTCCAGGCCTCCGATCCTCTCAGTTGCTCCAAACCCTCAACCTGTTTTTTGCAACGTGGGGACCCAACCTGGATGCGGGATCCCAGGTGTGGCCGTACGAAGGGTTTATCAAAGTGGTCCTAATACCCCAGGTCATTTGGATTCAATGCCTCTCTTGGTGCAACTGAGGATGGCATTAGCTCCTGTTTAAGGGGGAAGAGATGCCAGTCCTCTTGGAGGCCGCCCCCGCAGGGGAGGCGGCCAGCTCGGCCCAGGGACGCCCAGAGGAGGAGGAGGAGGAGGAGGAGGAGGAGGAGGAAGTCGGGGTGGGCGGGCTGGGGTCCAAGGGGCAGCCTGACAAGCACGGTCCCTCTGTACTTACTGAGTAGGGGGAGGGGCTGTGGAGGGGCTCCAAGGAGTACTGCCGGCCGTACTTGGGCATGCTGTGCGGGGAACTGCCGTCGTTCAACATCAGGGGGCTGGAAGGGAAAGCCGGGGGGGGGGAAGTAGTGAGGGCCCCCCCTCCAGCCAGGGTCCCCAGGCCGCCCTGCCAGACCCGGAGCTCCCCGCTGCTGCCCCCCAACGGTGCCCCTGGAGGCTCACTTACATCTTCCTCTTCACCCCAAGGATGCGATTGGACTGCACCAAGGAGATCAAGAACTGGATGAGCTGCAGGAGGAGGAGGAGGAGGAGGAGGAAGAGGAGGAGGAGGAGGGCCTGAGGGGGCTGCTCCCTGGGACCACGGGCGCCCCAAGAGAGGCAGCCCCGGAAAAGGGGGGAGGGGGGAAGGGGGGGGCGGCCAACTGCTTCCCAAGGCAGAGGGGCTGCTGGGGGGGGTCAGGGCTCAGGGCCCCAGACGGGGCACCCAGCCCCAAGGACCCCCGGGCTGCTGCTTCCCTCACCTCCCACCGATGGGCACACGCCCTCCGGCCCTTGGGCAAGCGGTGGGTTCACAGAAGGGGGGAGGAGAGGGGGGGGCAGCTCTTTAGCCGGGCCCCAGCGGGGGGAGGGGAGGGGGCTGCAAACTCACCTTATTGACGACCTTCTGCTGCTGCGTGTGCTTCTGACGCAAAGTGACCACCTCTCGCCACAGGGCCTCGTTCTCGCTGCAAGGAGAGGGGCAAGCGGGCCGTCAGGAGACCCTGGGCTGCCCCACCCCCAGGCCCCCGGAAGGGCCTCCCGCAGACAGGCCCCCCCCCGGCTCCCAGCAGCGGCAGCCCAAACCCCGGGGTCCTCCTTCCCACGACTCTCCGGGGGCTTCTGGCCTGGCCTCCCGGGCATTCGGAGCATCCTAGAAACACAACACACACACACACACCCCCGGGAGGCTACAGGCAGTCCCCCTGTTTAGTGACCACAACTGGGACCTGCAACTCGGCCATTAAGCATAGTGGTCGCTAAGGGAAACCACGACTGTTCTTAAGACCTTACTTTGGCTTTCCCTCGCTTGACAGACCTGCACAGGCCCCAACTAGGAGGGCGGGTTGCAAAATTACTCCCTTCTTCACCGTCACAAGTGCAAACAGCCACAAAATGAGAACTTCCTATAATGCCAGCTCTGTCTGTCGATGCAGGCCTGGGGTGGGGAGAGCCGCCGTCCCCGCCCCGGCCTCCAGGCTGAGCAGCCCCAGGAGCTCAGAAGGACAGAGTGGGGAGGGACCTGAAGGTCTTCTAGTCCAGCCGCCCCCAAGTCTTTTGGGCACCGGGGACCAGTTCCGGGCAGAGGGATGTTTCCACGGATCGGAGGGGGCCCGTTTCCTGGGCTGCTTGCCTGCCGCCTGTGGGGCGTCCCGTGCTGGCAACGCTGCAGCCTTCCGCTGGTCTGGGGCCCAGGGATTGGGGCCCCCCGTTCTAGCCCAACCGCCTACCCAAGCAGGAGGCCCCAGGCCATTTCGGGGGGCCCGGCTCTTCTTAAAAACCTCCAGGGTCGCAGTACCCATTCTCCACACCCTGCAGTGCCTTTTAGGCTCTACCAATGTTACCTATTGTTTTTTATTATTTTATTACAAAAATAATTAAACACACAATAGCAGCCAAAGCTCTCTGGGCAGTTTACAATAAAATGTACTTGGGCCCGTAATGTGTTAAGGCCCCGTTCCTCGGCTGTACCGTCGATTTATCATCACGGTTGATGTTGACTTTATTGTTTTTATTAGTTTGACGTTTTCTAAATTGTTTTATAACTTTAGACTTGTCAGCTGAGCCACCTGGTTGAGCTGGGCGGCTACAGGAATGGAATAAGTCAATAAAATATTTTGAATGCTTGCCACGCAGAAGGAACGGAAACGCTCTATTGACCTAACTTCGGTTAAGTGAAAATGGCAGATTCAACCCTTGGGAAGAACCCAGGCAGAACCGAAACCTTCACCGCTCTTTCTGAACTATGTTCACACAACGCCTCCGTTCCCAAATTGCTGGGAGGCAGGCGGCTTTGTGTTGACTTGCAAGGAGGCCTGGTGGGAGAAGGCTCAAGGTAACGCCGGGCTTCGGTTACACGCCTGGCCTCCTGCCCAACCAAAAAGGAAAGGGAAATCTTGCCCATCCTCAGTCCATGCAATAGGAATAGGGAAAAAAGGGAAAAAATAGAACAAGAAGAATGAAAAGTTAATAGGAAAACAGGACAAAATGCAGAATGGTTTTAAAGAAAATCTTGCCGTTCTGGAGAGGTGAAGAAGGCAAAACAAAAGTGAATAAAATTCAGAGTAAGTGATGAAATGACCTGAAGTGGAACTGAACTGAAAGGACGGAGGACGGTATGCGGAGAAGAGGAAACAACAGTGGCAGATGCCATGACTGAAAGGGCAGGAGGGAGCGGCTGGTGGGAGGTTATGCCGGCCAACGGCCTGGACAGATCGGCTCTTTAGCCAGTCATAAGGAATGCCCCCACAGGGTCAAGTTTAACTTGTGTTAATTGTGTCCTTGCCGGCTTTTGTTGATTTTGATGGTTGCTAGCCACCCAGAGTTTTGAATCTGAGACAAGCGGTCAGTCTAAATTACACCAAGAAAGCAATACCTGTCGTGCTCTCCGCAGCTCCTCCTGTCCCGGGCACCTGGAAGCCCTGCCCCTCAAACCGAAACTCAAGAGGCCTCCGGGGACCGTCTCCAAAGTCTTCCAGGGGAAGGCAAGTCCTTCTGGCTCAACCTGCTAAGCCCCCCCCACACCCCTTTTTTCCATTTCTAAGGAAAGGGCCCGCTCTGCCTTCAGTCCAAGGGACCGGAGGTTCTGCAGGGGCTCAAGTCGGAAGCTTCTGCCTGGGGGAATTGAAGCCTCTCTGGGGCTCCATTCGGACAAGGGAGGCTGAGGGGGAGCCGGCCCCCCATTCGGCCATTAGCGAAGCTCCCTGGAAGGCAGGGAAACATCCGTCCTGGGAGGCCCTGCTGGGCCCCTCCCCCCCACATGGAAAGATCAAATGGCACTGAGGGGTGGGGGGGACACCTGTGGGGGGGGGGTGGCTGATCAAAGGCGCAGAGGGAGCCAGCCAGCCAGCAGCTTAATCAGGAGGCTGCTGGCAGATTGGCAGGGGAGGGGCTGCACTGAGAGAGGCCAGGCGGGGTGACACCTGCCTGCACGGGGCCCAGGCAGGTGGACGCACCTGTGCGCTTGTCCAAGCCGGCCCTCTTCCCCAGAAGGCCAGGCACCATTCCCCCTGAAGGGGCCCAGCCCTCCCACCCCAAAACCGAGCCAGCATCTGCTTGGCTGGCAGCCCCTCAAGGCCGCTGAGAAGGAAATGAGGGGATGAGGGGCTCAATCTGGGAGGTGGGCAAGAGCCCCCACCTTCCCCAAGAAGGGAACTGAGGTG